TGATTCACAACAGTAGCAAAATTAGTTATGAAGTAGCAACAAAAATAATTTGATAGCTGGAGGTCATCAAACACGAGGAACCATATTAAAGTGTCACAGTGTTAAGAAGGTTGAGAACTGTTGGTATGACTGACCTCACGCCTGAATTCACAAACGTTCAACAGACATGGTTCAAATCAATGAAGTTTTCTTTCCTGTGGGCACTTGAACGTCCCAGTCCCCATGTCTTTCTGCCTGGGTTCCAGCTCAGCCTCAGAATTTACTAGCAATTTGGATCAATTCCCTAACTTCTCTCCTTGAATTTCCTTATCAGACAATAAAAACCCACCTTGAAGAGTCTGTAGGAATTAAGAACCAGATATGTTCAAATAGAACTGGGCATATGTTGGAATTCATTGCTTATTACCCTGTTCTACGGTTGCTGGGGAGAATACGCAGGTACCTGGACCATTCCCTTTAAAACTGTGGGAGAACGTGAGGTTCCCAGACCATTCCTCTTTAATACTGTGGAAAAGCTGCTTGCTGAGTTTGCACCATTTGTTTTTATTTAAGAAAACAATTTTAGATATATTTTATAAGTACAAACCAATCTTCAGAGGCAAATTGGTGGAAATAAATTTGTATGGTTTGTGCTGTTTTCACAGAATTATGTTGTTAGAAGAAAACTTTGTGTTTAACAGATTCTCGGCTTTATAGTGGAATGTGACTTTTTGTGTCTTTTTGCTAATTTGGGTTTTTTTTGGGGGATAGGGGAATTGTTTGTTTCATGTGGGGATTTGGGGGGAGATAGTTTTTGAGGCCTCGTGCCTCACTATGTAACACAGGCTTTAGAACTTGTAGTAATCCTCCTGCTTCAGCCTCCCAGATGTATGGATGACAAGCATGAGCCACCATGTCCACTGACTTGCATTTAAAGGTTCGAGCTTTGTCCTTGATGAAAAGTATCAATGGATATTTTAGCTTAGGAGCTTTGAAAAGAAAGAATTTTTTTCAACCCTCAACAAGTTTTAATTGGGACAATATAAATTCACTTAGCATTTGTATAATTTTCAAAGCAATTACTGATTGCTTTCTTCCAGACTCCTCACAATAGCGCTGTAGGATGTATAGCATTTACAGAGCTTGTAGCATTAATGTCACAGTTCCCAGCCACATCCACCAAGGCTGTAAACACCCATTGTTTGTTCCTTCTCTTAAAGAGTGTGTGCAGCACTTAGGCCGGCAAGAAAGCCCACAGCTGCTGCTCACTGTCTGTGCAGTCCACCAAAACAACTGCCACCTCCCCACTAATTTCCTGTGTTTAAAGGGTAATAGAGCCGCTGATATCACTGCCCGAAGTACGAACAACAAATCAAAGGCCTGGCCTCAGAGGCTGAGCCTGTCACGGATATGTAAGGACCCACTCTGAATGCCGTTGAAAAGTCCTTGCTCAGTGTGTACTGTTCTGCCCTCACCAGTGAGAGGTTTGAATACCTCCCAGCCTTCAGTGCAATTGCAAACATTCAATAGAAAAATTACATGAAAAGAAGTTCTCCAGAAAACTCTTGAATTTGAGGGGGAGATAGACAACAAGACCCCTGGTCTGCACACACACATGTGAACATACATACATACACACACACATATACACACATACACACATGCACATACAAACACATGAATGTACATACACACCTAATAATGACTACTATGCCAGGCAGAAAATCAAGGCCAGCTCAGTAAAGCATTTGGATAAAAGTCACACTGTTCCTCGTCATCAAATATTGTCCTAGTTTGTCATCCTGTTGCTAGAGTAAACACCATGACTACAAACAACTTGGAAGAAATGGGTTTCTTCCATCTTGTACTTCCGGTGTGGTCCGTCATTGAGATCAGTCACAGCAGGAGCTCAAGGCAGGGAGAACATGGAGGAAAGATGCTTACTGGCTTGCTCTCTCTCACAGTCTCTGCTAGCTCTCCCAGACAGACCAGGCCACCTACCAAGGGATGGTGCAGCCCACATTGGCTGGGTCCTTCTCAACTAGGTAGCAATCAGGAAAATGCCCCCAGACACATTCACAGGCCAGTTTGATACAGGCAATTCCTCAATTGAGGTTTCCTTTTCCTAGGACACCCAAGATCATTCTTCAGAGTGTATAGCCCAGGCTGGCTTCAAACTCTCCATCTTCCTGACTCAGCCTCTCCAGTGCTGGGACTGGAGTCACACGTCACCACATATGGCATGAGTTATGACTTTTAAATATTCATTTATTTTTATTTTATTTGTGAGTTTTTGTGGGTATGTATGCCTGCGTACCACATTTTCAGTGCCAGAGGAGGCCAGATGGGGGCATCAGATACCATGTAGGTGCTGGGAACCAAACCTGGGTCCTCTGGAAGAGCAGCCAATGCTCTTAACTACTAAGATGTCTCTCCAGCCCATAAATGACATTTTGATTTTGGTAAAACCTTGTCTCCAAACGTCTCTCCACATTTCACTCCAATTGAAGCCAGTTAAACCAGATGCAGCTTTATCTCATTTTTTTCCCACTTCGTGTATGATATGGTTTTTCTTGTGTGAGGCCTCATGCTAGAGCTTTCTGAAAAGAATATGCCTTTCTGCTCTGGATTTTCACGGTGTTTTTTTTTTTTTTTTTTTTTTTTTTTTTTTTTGCTTTTTAATAATGATTTATTTTTAGTTTATGTACATGGGTATTTTGCTTCTGTGTGTGTGTGAGGGTATTGGATCCCCTGGAACTGGAGTTACAGACAGATGTAAGCTGCCATGTAGGCACTGGGAATTGAACTCAAGTCCTCTGGAGGAAGCAGCTGGTGTTCTTAACCAATGAGCCATGGCTCCAACTCCTTGAAGTGCTCTTGACCACCCTTACTATGGTGACCAAGACAATGAAAGGCGGTTCCTTGGCACCACCATGGTTTTACCCCTTTGCTTTTCTGTACTAACTGAACTGTTTTTTATTTCCCCTAACTAATAGGGATTGGTTTTTCATCTTTGTGCATTAATTTTACCTCTTTGTTGTCCTAACAAACAGGAATTCTGCTTAACCTGCTGACCCAGGGAACATGTGAGGCACAGAAAAATGTGAATACAATAGGAGTCTTAGACCTAAGAAGTTCCCAGTTGAACAGCCAGGACAGGCGCATAAATAACTATAACACAGTGCAGGATGGCCAGCAGAGGAAGGGTTAACTCAGGGGTGGGACAGGAAGGGGAGGGGGGCTTAGAGGGGTAAAACAGAATGACAGGTTCCGAACGCCGCCGTCACATGGCAAAGATGCACCGTGTAAGGCTGAAAGGACTTTTGCGTGCCATGCTGACCTCCACTTCCTGCCCCGTGCTGTGTGACCCACTGAATGACTTGAATGTTCTCTAAAACGCTGTACAATTCGCACAGTTCTAAAGATAAGCTTACATTATATTTTATTCCTTGGTCTTAAGAGTCTGTTCTACATTGCTGTAAAGTTATTCAGCTGCTTTGTTGGAAAAAGTCAGCGTTTGCTAAGAAAGAGTAAAGCCAAACAAATGATGAAACGGTTGCCGCACAGACAGATCTGTGGTGTTTACATGGAGACCAGATGTTTCTTCAGATTCCAGGACAGTCCTCCTTGTTTTCATTTCTATTCGTAACGATGAAGAAAATAGAATAGATGCAGGATATTAGTTTAAATCCAAAAGGGAATAAAAGTGGAAGGAAATAGGTTCGTGCTGGCCTGCATACCGTTCTGATGAGTGCCTCATTTTCATTTGAGAAGTTGGCGTGAGTGCTCACTGATGGGGGAATTGTTCCCTCACATGAGGGTTAGTGTCAGGGGACAGGGACTTCCCCTGACCCTTCTTCCTCATCTGCTTCTTAACCTGTTTCCTGTACTCAGGCCATCAACACAGCTCTGGGCTGGACTCCACTGGCCATAAGAATGCAGGGCCAGGCCAGCCCTACCTGGGATTAATTTCACATGCTTTCTTATTCAAAAGATAATCAATCCCAGGACTACTTCTAGATAATAGCCCTTAATTGTCCTCCATAGAATGAGAAATCCTTCAGAAAATGAAGGTATTTAAATTAATATTTCTGTGACCTTGAGAGCCTTGTCTTCGTTGCATACCCCCACTTTTTGTTTTCCTCCAGCTGACACGGGTGTTTAGGTGTGTGGTCCTGGTACGGTGGGCATGGCAGTTCAGCCGCCAAACAGTTTTGCTCTTAACTTCCACTCACAGCTAGTACTTTTCTGTTTTCTTTCTTCTTCTTTTTTTTATAATTTCTGTCTAGCAAATACAGTATCTTCCCTTTTTAGTTTTTAAACTTCTTTTAAACTAATCTTTTTTTAAAAAGATTTATTTATTTATTATGTATACAGTGTTCTGTCTGCATGTATGCCAGCTGGCCAGAAGAGGGCACCAGACCTCATTACAGAGGGTTGTGAGCCACCATGTGGTTGCTGGGAATTGAACTCAGGACCTTTGGAAGAGCAGTCAGTGCTCTTAACCTCTAAGCCATCTCTCCAGCCCAGTTTTTTTAAACTTTTATAAACTGTATTTTAAAAAATTATGCCTCTCATCTTGCTCAGTCATAAAAACGATTGGCTTTTTAAATTATTATTTTGATGTATGTTTTTGATGTCTTTTAAAGGCAGTAAAGTTCTCCCATTGAGTAAAATAACTTATAAGGCATTCTAGCTCTGCTTTGGGACATATTGGCAGCATTACTTCGACATCAGTTATTATTTAATTGTTAATAATCACTTACTATCCTTTTATTTAATAAGTTGGTGAAACCACCTTCGCTGTTGTTGGAAACAGGCTTCATCTACTGTCATCCCACCCTGGACACACTCTAATCTCACCTGAAATAGAGGATACAGAATACATGTCAGGATGTCTTACTCAAAATTAAGCCGCGTGGTTGTCTCTCTTGTTCACTAATATCATCGCATGTAGGTAGAACTAAGGTAGAACTTAATATTACTGATATGAAAATTTGCCTTCATTTTTGGTATTTCAGCTTCAACAAACCCAGAAGTCATCAAGATAAATTCAGTTCTGGATATCGTTGCCAAAGTGGAAGAGTATTATCTTAAGGGCTATGTTGTTGGGGCCATTCACCCAGTCATCCAGCCTGTGGGGCATCGGAAACTCCTCCCAGCAAGTCAGCTGTACAGAGTGGTGCTGTCCCGCTTGAAAGTAAGGTACGCTTGACAAAAGTCCCATCAGAGGCCTTCAAGGATGGGCATTGTTTTTATTGCCTGGTTTTTGCTTCTTTGGGGGGGAGGGCAGTGAGACAGAGTTTCTCTCTGTAGACCAGGCTGGCCTCGAACTCATAGAAATCCACCTGCCTCTGAGTGCTGGAATTAAAAGTGTTCAGTGCCACAGTGGCCACCAGTACCACCACCTGACAATTTTTCTTTAATCTAAAAGAAAAGAAATTTTGAAAGCATGATGAGGAATAAAGGCTCCTCGGGGGAATGACTCAAGGCATAGTTTTCAGAGCTGAAATTGAATTGGAATAGGAAACCCACACCTTTAAAATCCCTGATTAAGCCAACTATGGTGGTGTATGTAGGATTCGAGTAACCCCAGGACCCAGCAGGGTGTGTGAGTAGGCATGAGGACCTCAACTTTGACACTGCTGTGGGCTACAAAGGAAGATTCTAGCCAAAAGAAAAGAGCCAAAACAACAAAAACCCTCCTGATCACTGTCTTTACTCTTTGAGGTCAAATAAATAGGCACTAAGTGAAGAAGTCAGTGATCAAAAGGAAGGAGATAGACCCAAGAAGCACCCCAAAAAGCTGGGTGTGGTAACTTTTGTACAACCTCCAGAAGATAAGGAGCGGCGATTAGCCTAACCATACCAAGGGAATCAATGCAGCCCACTCTCTCTGAGCTCTTCCAACTGATTCTCATTAAGAACGGCAGCTGAAACCAGCTCATATCATAAACCTTACCTGGCAGAAAGCACCACCCCACCAAGGTCTCAAAATTAGGTGGACATGTTGGCAACTTTTTCCCTAAATGTAATGGAGGCCAGGGGTCCTTGGGATTAAACCTAAGCTTTTCACATGCAAAGTAGGGTCTTAAGGTCTTCCCTTTGGGGATGAATACATAGTTCAGTGGCACAACACGTGTTCAAGACCCTGGGTTTGAGCCTTAGCACCACAAGAAGACAATTGTCTTAGTCACTGTTCCGTTGCTGTGACAAGACAGTGACCAAGGCAACTGTTAGAAAAGAAACCATTTAATTGAGGGTTTGCTTACAGTTTTAGAGGGTCCGTCCATTATTATCATAGTAGAATGCGTATAGATAGTCATGGTGCTGGATCATTAGCTGAGAGCTCACAGCCTGATCTGCAGGTAGAAGGCAGAAAAAGAAACACTCGCCTAGGGTCAGCTTCAGGTGACATGACACACCTACTCCAACGAAGCCACCCCTATTGCAGCAAGGCCACACCCACTTCCTAGTCCTTCCCAGTAGGTCAACTGAGGACCAGTGTGCGCCTGTGAGGGTCGTTCTCATTCAAACCACCATGTCTGCTTTGACTCTCCAGTGACTGCTAAGGGCCACAGTATTGCCTGAAATTAATTTATAAAAAAACTTTGTACAACTCTTCATCTACAATGAAACTGTCTAGGCCGTGTGACTGGGCAGAGGGACAGTGGGTAAAGGTGCTGCTTGCTGTGCAAGCCTGATCCCAGAACACACATAAAGATGGAAGGACAGAACCAGCTCCTCAGAGCTGTCCTCTGACCCATGTGCACACTGTGGGGTATTGCCCTCCTACACACACACACACACACACACACACACACACACACTCATACATACACATACACACTCATACATATACATACTCATACACACTCATACATGCATACACACACATACATACACACACAGACACACTCATATACATACTCATACACACATATACATATACACTAATACATACACACTCATATGCATACACACACATACATACACACACACTCATTCATTCATACATACACACACACACTCATACATACTCACACATACACACTCATACATATACATACTCATACACACTCATACATGCATACACATACATATACACACAGACACACTCATATACATACTCATACACACATACATACATACACACACACTCATACATATACATATACACACATATACATACACACTCATATGCATACACACACATACATATACACACACACTCATTCATTCATACATACACACACATACATATACACACACACACATTCATTCATACATACACACACACACACAAACATATACACATGATTTTTTTCATCTCAAAAGTTGTGCTTCCTCTTAATAGTGGTGGATCAACAGCAATCAATGTAAAAGCTAAAGAAAATCATAATAAAGAGGAAAAGGGTGAGAAATAGGAAAATTGGAAAGGGAAGGAAGAGGAGAGAGCTGGTCTTTAAATTTCCAGGTGGTCTGGCCCCGCCCCCGGCCAGCCAGTGCTACAGGAGAGCTGACCCTGCTCCTCACCTGAGCAGGGAGGGTGTTCCTGTGGAGCCCCAGGATGACCAACTCAGCTACCACCCAGGCCCACATCCAGGGCTTTGAGTTGGGCACACCGCAACAGCAACCCCATCTATGACCTACTGGAGCCCATGAAGGGACCGGTTCTGTGGAACCATAGCCACAGGGTCTCCATGATCTGGGCAACAGCAGGAGAGCAAAGAGGAGCCTCATTGAGGTGCAGTATTGATGGTGTGCCAGACCAACAACTCACTGCAATGAGCATTTGCGAGTAAAGCTGTTTGGGCAAAGGAATATAGTGAGTCATATCACAGGTCCAATGCCACAAAGACAAATGAGAGGTTGTGGAGAGGTGGGAAAGATGGGCAAAGTGGAGCTTTTTTCTTTTCTCTTATGGGAGAAGCTACAAGGGTGAAGTGCAGATATGGAAGGACTGGGAAATGAGTGGGATTGGGGTGCATCATGTGAAATCCCCAGAGAATCAACAAAAGAATTCCAGATGGCGGATTGGGAGTGGAGCTCAGCTGGCAGAGCGCTTGCCTAGCAAGTGGGGCGTCCTGGGCTCATTTTCTGGTACCACACAAACCAGATACACAGTCACACACTTGTAATCCCGGAATTCAGGAGGTCAAAAGATCAAGATCTTTCTCTACTGCATATCAAGTTTGAGGTCTGCTTCAGACACTAAGTTTTAAAAAGAAAGAAAAAAGTTTGGTGACTTTTCCATGCTAAGGATCATATCCAAGATTTTGCAGTTCTAGGCAAGTACTATACCCCTGAGCCACGTCCCCTGCCCCTGGCTTCTTTTTAAAGGGCAGTCACCTGCTGTTCAGTAATTACTTGTGGGCATATGTGCACACACACACACACACACACACACACACACACAATTGTGTATGGACTTCAGTTTTTACTAGAATATAAATGTTTTCAACTCAAGCATTACTAAGTATATGTGGCACTTTTTACTTATGCTTATGCTGTGATTACACATCCCATCAACTGTGTATAACTAACTACCTTTCCAACTTTTAGTGTTAAATAGACTCAGAAGTGCTAAAACTTGGCAGAAGTTGGAGCTCAGTATAGAAAAGGAGAGGAGAGAAACAGGCATATTTATCTGTATTTAAATAGGGTTTTTTTTTTAACTTATGCTTCATTCTTTTTTTATTTATACTTCATTCACTTTAAATTAGAAATCACTGTGTGTCTGTGGCATTTTGTTTTAGTGACCCATTGGGATTGAAATAACAAAATGATAGCCTTGACCTTACTTCTGAGTTGCTTGTGGTTTTCCCATGGCCATAGGTGGAAAGCAGTAGTTTGCCTCTGACCCTGACCATACTGTGTTCTCTTTGCAGCCCCAAGCATTCAGCAGCCCCAGGTGGACAAAGGCATGCAAGACTTGTGATGGAGGAGTGTCCTCTCACTTACGAGACACAAGCAAACGTGGCAGCAAAGGAACTCATTGAAAAGGTACTGGGTGTGTGTTCCTCGTGGAACACTAAGAAACAATTTCCTTTCTTACCTGAAAACCATACAGAGCCCAGGCATGGTGGCACAGCCTGTAATCCTGTCACTGGGGCAAGGTCATCCTCTGCTACATATTGAGTTCAAAAACAGCCTGAACTACATAATGAGTTCCAGGCAGCCTTAGCTACAGTGTAGGATCCAAAAGATTAGGGAACTGGCAATTACTTTTTGTACAGAACTCAGAACGTAAAGCATGTGAACCAAACTGTACAGTCTGAAACTCCACTAGTTAAGGATCTCTGGAGGAAGAACAAAAAGGATGAGTGTATTAAAGGGTTTGCCAGGTTCATTTACACAGCAGGACAGCAATGCCTACCTTCATACTAAGGCTGAAAACCCAGAAGCTGCTCCTTCCACAAGGCCAGAGCCTTAGCAGTCCCAGTCAGGCCTGGGGACCCTGGAGAACAGCGGTTCTTCAGTCCATTTTGGAAAGCTGAAGGACTGGGTTTTAATGTGGGCCAAAAGCAGCAGCAGCCAGTTGCTGCCAGCATAAATGGACTTGGCAGCACGTGAAGGTAAGCAAGCAAAGAGCAAAAGCTTTGTGTCTCCATTTCCTTCCATTGGGGCAGACGCCAGAAGTAACACCCACATTGCCGGTGGGCCTTTCCACTGCAGTCGAACTGAGCAAGAAAATTCCTCACAGGTATGTCCATCCACTTGCCTGTGAAATTGATTCCAGATCCAGTCAAGTAGATAATCAAGATTAGCCATCCCAAAAGCATAAATAAATGCCAATAAAACAGAATAGTGCTAGCAGAAGTTTGACTGCATATAAGAATTTTACTAAGAAGTCGGCAGTGGTGGCACATGCCTTTTATCCCAGCACTCAGGAGGCAGAGACAGGCAGATCTCCAGCCTGGTCTACAGAGAAGAAGAGGAGGAGAAGAAGAAGAAAGAAAGAAAAGAAGTTTAATAACAAACATGACAAGAGGCAAGGATAACTGTAACTTAGTCAATACTTAGGGAATGAGGCAATTGTCCCATAGAAAATAGATTCCAGAAGTTTCAGATGAGACAGAGGTGGAATTTTTCAATATGAAAAAAAACTAAAAGAAAACAAAGCCAAACATAGTCAATTCTGAGTGGAGAAGTTGGTCTAAAAACAAATTATGTTTTTTTTTTTAAGAAAAATTAACTTGAAAAGAGATCAAGGGAAAATTTGCAATTAATGTATCATTTGGAAGCTGCATAAATTAGAAGTTGAACAGTAAATGTAGACTGACTAAACCAAGATGTGTGTGTGTGTGTGTATGTGTGAATTTTTGGTGTAAGTTTAGTCACATTGGTCTACTTATGAGTTCTCAGCTTTTATTTGTTGTTGTTTTTCATGGGGAAGTTGGTTTTGTTGGTTTTGTTTTCAAAAATGGACAGCCACTATGAAACCTTGGCTGCCTTAGACCCCTCTATGTCGTCCAAACTGGCCTTGAACTCACAGAGATCAGCCTAGCTCTGCCTCCAGAGTGCTAGGATTAAATTGAACAGCACCACATCCAGCTAGCCTTTATTTAATTTAAACATATAGAGTCAAAAACCCAAAGCACTTCCTTCCGGGTAGCAATTATGAGAGTGGAGTGAGGTATGCTAACTCACAGTTACAATCCTTGAGCAAGGTGTGGTTGTTTATGCCTGTAGTCCCAGGGTGTAGGCAGATTAGGCAGGGAGACCGAGTTCCAGAGTAGCCTGTGTTACAAATAAAGAGACAAGGAACCAGTGAACTTTGTTTGTGTTGCTGATTTCCAGCTTAGTAACCACTTGTGGAGAATCAATGTCTGTGGTTTGTGTCTCGCCACTAACTGCTAATGATATTTCCCACTAAAATACAAAGTTACCATTCAGCTCCATGGTGGAAAAAGTCCAGGGGACCAGGTTTTACAGGTACACACACTGTTTACTACCACTATTCTGGGTAGTTCTTTTTCTGGGAATAAATCCACTCCAGACAGCTTCTTTTGAAAACAAAAATATAGCTACTGAGTCTTGCTAGATGACCACGGGAGGGCTTATTTTGAATCTGACTCCCTGGGCATAGTTAAAGACTTAAACAGAGAAGCACAGTTATTTCAGTAGATTACCCAGATTCTTCTCTAAGTGAAAAGCTTCAGGAAACACACAGGCAAAATACCCCAACATTGCCCTGGGTGTGAGCAAGAGCAGCTGGCGAATGCCAAGCACTTCTGAACAGCCACTTTGTGTGAAGACTTGTTGAACAGCTAGTTCTCAAGTCCAGCTTCAATTCTCTATTAATGTCTACTCTAATTTTAGTTTGTGTCCTTGTATGTGGTACTGAGGATTGAACACTTGGGCCTCCTGCATGCAGGCATTCTACGAACTAGATCCCCACCCCTGTGCACTCTATTTTTATATTCAGTTTGCATTTTTCTTCTCTCGGGGTTTTAAAATACCACATTTAAAAATATAAGTCCTCTAAGGCTGGCAAGACAGCCCAATAGGGAAAGGTATGGCTATCAAAGCTGACAGGAACTGAGTTCAAACCCTGGAACTCACGTGGTAGAAAAGAAAAGTTGTCCCCTACCACTACATGTGCATCTCACCATGACACATGCGTGTTCCTGTACGCACACAAATAAATAAATAAATAAATGTGATTAAAATTATTTATCCTCCAAGTTAAAATGCAAAAAAAAAAAAAAAGTATGTGCTATAGTACGAGAGAGAAGTTTTCCTGAACATCTCCATCAAATCTAATACCTAGAAGGACACTGACAAGAAATTTACCCCTTTCCTCTCACAGAATGGGGAGCCCTCTCATATCTCCCTCTTCTCTCCCAGGACACAGGGGAGGTTGAAACTGTGTGGCTACGTCCAAGTCTGTACACAGTGCTAAATGTCAGGATGTAACTCTTAGAGGAAGGAATGAGGCTGTGCAGTCCAGAGTTCTGGCTCCTGCATCCTCCCAGCCGGGCGTGGCCCTTTTAGGGGCGTGGCCCTTTTAATTCCATTGCTCTTCTTTTCTCCAGTTCTTCCTGCCTTTAAAAACTCCCACTTCATTCTGTCAGGGTTTCTATCTTCACCTCCATTGTAACTCTCACCAGAGTAACACTTACAAGGTTCACTTTAGATGTTTAAAACAGTGCTGAGCCAGGCATGCTGGTGCACACCTTTAATCCCAGCACTCTGGAGTCAGGGGCAGGAGGATCTCTGAGTTTAAGGCCAGTCAGGACTACAAATCGAGTTCCAGGATAGTCAGGCCCTGTCTCAAAAAAAAAAAAAACATCCTTTCTACTTCTCTATTAATTTAATCAATGTATACAGTACACCTATCAAATGATGCAATAAAAAGACATTTCCCCTGGAAAGTATTGCCAACTGAACATGGAAGAACACTGTCACAAAAAGAACAGTCACACTACCCTAACTGTCATCACAGAACCTTCATCCAGTAACTGATGGAAGCAGATGTAGAGATCCACAGCCAAGCACTAGGCTGAGCTCCAGGAGTCCAGGGCAGGGGGCTCAAGATCATGAGTAGGAAAGCCACAGAGACAGCTGACCCGAGCTTGCGGGCGCTCACGGACTTTGGACCAACAGCTAGAGAGCCTACATAGGACCGACCTAGGCACTCTGCATGTGGGTGACAGTTATGTAGCTTGGTCTTTTGTGGGGCCCCTAGCAGTGGGACCAGGATCTGTCCCTGACACATGAGCTGGCTCTCTGGAACCTATTTCCCATGGTGGGATGACTTGTCCAGCCTTGATGGAATGGGGGGAGTTTGGTTCTGCCTCAATGCTTTGTTGACTCCCATGGGAGGCCTTATTCCTTCTGAATAGAGATGGAGGAGTGGAGGAGGATTGGATTGGGGGGGAGGGTAGAGGGCTTAGAAAGGAGGTGGGGGATGGGAACATGAGGAGAGGAGGGAGGGGAAACTGTGGTTGATATGTAAAATAAATAAATAAATTTTAAAAAAAAAAGAACATTCACACAGAGCTGAGAAAACCCTTAGATCTTGGGCACTGTGTGCTTAGAGGAAATAAGATAAGAGTCGCATAAGTATTTGAATGGAAACAGTAGCAAACATGAAAATCACCACTGCTAAAATCCCAACTTATTTCCCTGACTCCATATCATCTGCTTCCGAGCCTATGTGCTAACTGACAGGATCAAATTAGATTCTGTGTGCTTGGTCCAGGTCAGAGGCAGAGAGTAAGCAGATAAGAAAACTTCCTCACAGCATGAACTGGGCCCATGCTTCACATGTGTGTATTTATAAGAGCTGGCCTCTTAACATCTGTCTTAATCAACACCAAATAGTGCTTTTTGTTTTTAAATTAACATCTCCTTTAAAAGTGAGATTGTGTTTGCTTCAGTTATTTTGGGGAGTATTCTGGAACAGTCTTTACTCTTGCTCCAACTGGAAAGATTATTGTTAACCATCTCCAAAAATCATGCTATAAAATTACTAGTTCTTGCCAAATGTGGTGGAATTTCAGAGAAAACCATGGTTCTCTCTTTATATTGTCTGAAGCATTTGTTCCGTTTGACATGTCATGCTAATACTGACACACGATCTTGGGGACGATGTACTTTATCGGTTCTCTGTCTTGTAAGTGTGGCTTAGTTACTGGTTAGTTTATTCCACCTTCTAATGGCCTCCTAGGACTAAGGTTAGTTGACTGAGTCGTGCGTGTGATTTACTTTGATCCTGCCATCTCTTTAAACCTCAGATTAACGCTGCTGCCAAAAGAGGAATGAAATTTGTTGGATTCGTATCACAGTATTACTTGCCATCCAAACTCTGTAATGGAACCAACCATGATGGAGATGCAGAATTGGGGCTACACAGGAGACACGGTTCCCATGGCAACTGCAAAAGCAGCAATGAAGGAGATGTCAGTGGACAGTTGTCTGAAAGTGGAATGGAGGGGGAGCCTCAGCTTGAAAGTGGACATCAGACAGAAGGAAACAGCAGCCCCAGCAAGTCTAAACCAGAGCGGGGAGGAGGTACAGCATGGATGGGAAGAGAATATACTCTGTTCCCCAAATTATATCTTTACTTTAAAGAAGTATAAGACAATGTTAATTTCTGTGTGATAAGGACAGTGAACTAATCTAATCTTGTGGGGTTGTTTTTAAGTACTTATAGCCAGGAATAAGGCAGGGCAATGTTTCAGACATTAGTTCTCCTACTGACCCTGCAAACTGTACGCATAATGCAGCCACCTAGCCCTCTTCTAAAATGAAAGGCTGTACATGTGCTACAAGTCAGCAGCCAGGCGGTGGTGGCACACGCCTTTAATGCCAGCACTTGGGAAACAGAGGCAGGCAGATCTCTGTGAGTTCGAGGCCAGTCTGATCTACAAATCAAGTTCCAGGACAGCCAGGGCTGTGACACAGAGAAACCCTGTCTTGAAAAAAAACAAGGGGGAAAAAGCAAAAAGGGAAGGAAAAGGAAGGGGAGGGGAGGGGAGGAAAGGGGAGGGGAGGGGAGAGGAAAAGAAGGGAAGGGAAAGGAAAGGAAGGGAAAGGAAAGGAAAGGCAAGGAAAGGCTGAGAGAGTAGCTTGGTTTATAGCCATCTGGTAAACTGTGTGAGAATCTCTCAGGACAGGCCTTTCCCATTTCATGCATGCTCTTCACCTTTGAAATCAATGGACATGCTTTGATCATCACTAGACTATGACAATGGCACATCATGATGATTCAGTTATTGTAACAATAGGGCCCACAGCCAGAAATAACTGTAGACAATAGTTTTGGCCTTCTCTGCCAAGTCTCAAGTTTTCCCAAGAAATTGAGAGAATTTTTCTCCTTTATTTTTGACTGTGTAAAGTTTCCTGACATCTCTGCAGGAATGTTGTTTTTTTTTTTTTTTTTAAACAACATCAAAGAAAACTAAAGATCTTTATACCATGGAGTAAACATGGCCTCTGGAGACAAACGCCTCAATGTCTTTGTATGAAGGAGACAATTGCAGAGAGCCTCTCTCACGGGTTGTAAAGGGGAAACAGCCCAGGGCCTGGCACAAAGGAAGCCCTAGCAAGTTGACAGTTGCTCCAAACCTTTGATCAGCACTGGCCCTGGAGGGCACAGGGGAGTCTGGAGTCTGAGGCACATGGCAGAGATCCATTTGAGTGAGAGCATCTAGAGAAAGAACCAGATTAATATGAAACAGTATACTTCTAAAGCTGTGTTGGTTTTTCTTTTGTTGTTTTTATTATTGGGTTTATTTTTTGTTTTTGTTTTTTGGAGCTGAGGACCAAACCCAGGACCTTGCACTTGCTAAGCAAGTTCTCTCCACTGAGCTAAATCCTCAACCCCTGTTAAAGCATTTTTTTAAACAGTAAACTATGTATAAGATATATAACTATGTATCTAAAAACTATTATCAAATTTATTCTAGCAGTTATATTTAGATAATGGGATTAGGGACTATATACTGCTAGGTACTACTAAATAAGTACATAGTAGCCTCCTCTGTTGTTCATTGAAGAAATAATTCAAAGCTAATATGGCATAATGTTAACATTAAACTAATGGGGGTGGGGAGGGTGTGAAGCTCACTTAGTACAGCACTTGTCCCACAAACATCAAGTCTTGAGCTTGATGCTGAGTGCCCCATAAAAGGCAGATAGATGTGAGTGCATGCTTGTGACTCCAGCGCTAGACAGCTAGACAAGACCCTACCTCAAAACCTAAGATAGAGAAGGACTAGGAAAGAAACCCAGCATCAACCTCTGGTCTCTCTACATGTGCGCACACACACGTGTACATGCACTCAAACACAGGCACACAATATATACATATACATTTTTGAATTGAGGGGTGGATACTTTTGTTATTTTCTGTATTCATTTGTATGTTTGTAATGTCTCACGAAGAACAAATTGTTTAAGAATTTTGATTAGTGAGATTATGATTGCCTCTCCCCTTTTTCTTGAATGCCTATCCCCAGATCACAAGCTATACATGGTCTTCAATGCTTTCGGTGAGGATTCAGCCTGCTGGACCTATCAGGAAGGTATCCTGTCCATGAAAGTAACAAGGAAAGGAGCTGTCATCAACACACTTGATGCCAACTGGCTAGAATTAACTACATTTTATTATAAGCAAGGCTTGTCTTTAGTTGACTCTTTTGTATGCTGGGAGACACCTAAAGGTGAGTTTTATATTAGTAATACATTAATATGTAAATAATCTGGATTTGTGTCAAGTTCAGTGGCTATAAGGATGGGTATAATTCTTTTAAAAACACAGCTTTGTAGCTTCAATTTAAAAGCTTTGGCCAGTGAGATGACTCAGCGGGTAAAGGAAGTTGCAGCCAACACTGACAACCTGTATTCAATCCTCAGGATCCACAGTAGAAGTCGACCCAAACTCCCCAAGCTGAGCTCCACCTTCCACACAGATGCAGAGGCATGCACATGTCACGTGTGTGCCCACATACATACAGCAAGCACACATAGAGATAAATAAAGTGTACAAATTTAAGAAAAGCTTTACTATCCTTAAGAGCAAATGGAAACCCTTGGCCAGTGTAGAATTGTAATGTAATGTTTGCTACTGTGTAAGAACCATAGTGAACAGACACACCATGGAGGGATTGGCCAGTAGGAATTTCCAAAAGCAGTGTGCTACAACAGCCCAGTCAGGAAGCTCAGGGTAACATCCTATAGATAATATCCGCATTTGATATACTACTACTTTGTGGCAGTAGGTAAAATGTGTATAAGGTGCATTTCTGGTCTTTCTATCATTTGTACAGAAAAGACATCAGAGATGTGGACTTTTGTTTGTCGTTGAGTTACAATGTAGTACATAACCAGTCTTGTCTATCACAAAAACAAAGACTTCCCCAGCAATGAGTTCAAGAGAGATTAGTGTCCAAAGAAATGAAAAAGAAAGCATGGGCAGACTGGAGAGAACATCAGAAGGTGGGAGTTGGGATTGCTACAGGCCTTAAGCTTGACGAGGTTGAAGCCAAGAGTGAAGGAGAAATCAGACACAACATCGTGAGACCACCCTGTTCTTAAACCAGCGTTCTCACTCATCCTCTGTGTGACAGATGACTGGATGGTCCATAGTATGTGCAGGAGTCACGTTCCAGAAGATTGTTTTTAACTAGAGCCAAGCCCAAGGCATGCCTCAAACACAGCTTCTGGCAGAGATGGCTGGTACACAGCAGGTGCTCAACAAATACTTGGGGATTTCTGGCTACTGGAAACTTTGGTCTTGTTTGGAAATAGTTAGGTTTCGTTGGAAGAAAGAGGCCTTAAGAATCTTATAGACCAGGCTGGAGAGATGGCTCACAGGTTAAGAGCACTGGTTGTTCTTGCAGAGGTCCTGAGTTCAATTCCCAGCACCTACATGGTGGCTCACAGCCATCTATGGTGAGATCTGGCGCCCTCTTTAGGTGTGTAGGAATGCATACAGGCAGAACACATTATACATAATAAATAAATAAATCTTTAAAAAAAAAAAAAAAAAAAGAATCTTATAGACCAAGGTTTGAGGTCTACTTCTACTTACTAGCTCTGTGATTTGAGGGAGCCAGGTGGGCTGACGGAAGCTGCTTCCCAAAGAGGGTGAAAGTCACGGTGAAAGTCACTCTGCTGCTGTGAGACGTGATTGAGAACAGTGCAGATGAGATGCCCAGCACCGAGGCTACAGCAGAGCTCTGGTGCCTCCCTTCCTGGCATGCATTACAAGCAGGGCCATGCGTTCCGACGGGTCATCTATTCGGAAACTGGTTTGTGTTTCACACTGCTTCACCCCCTCCCCTCTCTTCTCCCTCTCCTCCTTGCAGCATCTGAGTTGGAGACATTTTAAGTTTGATTAGTGACAAACTGCCTAGACAAAAGCAAACCTATTCTTTTCAGTCTCTCTCGGGCATTCCTGCCTCTGGCTGGGCCTGATGAACATGAAATGAGCTACAGCAGTTGCTTAGCCAGAGGCATGTGTGGCTTTAGTTCTTAGAGCCCCGAGGAGGCCCTCCTCCTTCGGCAGCTCTGGAATGTCTCTTCAGACATCGTTTGATGCAATCGTTGCCGAACCTCTACTCATCCATCTCAAGTCTCTGGACACCAGTAGGTCATCAGAACTTTCCCTACGGTTCCCAGGGACACTGCAGAGGGTCATCTGGCCAGTGTCTGTCACTGTGAGAAGTCAGTGAGAAGCAAGACTGAATTGGACTCTTTGTTCTGAATGTTTGATGCCTGGCATCCCAAGCTCATGGGGAAACAATGAGTAATTTGCTGTCTTGCTTTTGTCCTCATCTCAAATATTGTCGGAAATCAGTTCACTACAGAGAACTTAGAACGACAAAGCCAGGCTTATTAGCTCACAAACCACACTGTAGAAAATGCTCAGAAACAGAGGCAGAGGGGAGGGCACATATTGAGACGTTACCTACCTTAGCAGAGCGTGAAACAAACATTGTAAAGTCCCTGGAATTCCTCTGCAGTGTCCTGCCACACACCTCAGCCTTCCCTGTTTTGAACATTCCTGGGGAGAGGGGATCGTCATCCCCAGAGTATAGTCTCCCTTTCCTCCACCCATATTTTTTATGTCAATTTTTTTTTTTTTTTTTTTTTTTTTTTTTGGTTTTTGGTTTTTGGTTGGGGGCAGTGTTTTTTATTTGTTTTGTTTGTTTTTGGTCTTTTTTTTTGGTTTTTCCAGACAGGGTTTCTCTGTGTAGCTTTGAAACCTGTCCTGAAACTAGCTCTGTAGACCAGGCTGGCCTCAAACTCACAGAGATCCACCTGTCTCTGCCTTCCGAGTGTTGGGATTAAAGGTGTGTGCCACCAACACCTGGCTTATGCCAAATCTTAAAGCTCCCTTTTAATTGTCTGTGGGTTCTCTTAAGTGCAGGGGTGGGATGGGGTGATAAGGTTGAAAGGTGTAATGAGCAAGTGTGGGTACCAAGCAGTTAGACTAATGGTACTAAAACACACACACACACACACAACTTTCAAAAGTAAGGAAAATATTCAGAGTATACCCAATGGAATAGTGTGACAAGAGAACCAGGGAAGAATCTGTAAGAAAGGGTGACCTGGGACCAGCAAGCTGGCTCACAGGTTTAAAAAAAAAAGATGAAGCCTGGCCGCCTAAGTTCAGCTGTCCAGGACCCACATGATATAGAAGGAGGGAACCGACTCCTACCAGTTGCCCCTCTGATCTCCACACAACATGCTATAGCATGCACACACCCACACATGTATACACACACATACACAAACATACATGCAAGAAGGTAATAACCACAGTACAACTAGGAGGCTATAGGAGGCAGGCATGTAAGATCATGGGCATAGAGCACAGAGCAATCAAGAGGAGCCTGAAAGGTCTGTGTGGCTGGAGCAGGGTACGTAGGGAAAGACGGCTCTAGACAAGGTAGGAGAGGGGACAGGAGCCATCCATGCAGAGTCCTGTACATCTGTAAAGCAGTAGCAAGGACTGGCCTGTACGTTTTACTTGCTCTCTGCTATCATTATCCTAAACCTGTTGCGGCATAACTCATTTCATCCACAAAGTAATCCTGTGAGAAAACCGGGGTGTACAGTCACTAAACAACGTGCCCTCATTTGCAAAACTAGGAAGCAGTGTTGCCAACAAGGTGAAATGTGCTCAGTTTTTAATTAATTAATTCTGTGAGTGGGTGGGGTGTGCTTGTCACAGTGCACATGAGGAGGGCAAAGGACCATTTACAGGGTGACAGTTTCCTCCTTCCACAGGATGAATTTTAGGGACTGAAGTCAGGTCACCAGCGTGGCTGCAGTGCCATTATCTACTGAACCATCCCCCAAATCAGAGTGTGTGGTCTCACCCAGCACGCAGGGTTCTTATTTCAATTCACTAGTTAAAATTTTTAAAAGGGAGTCATGATCTGATGTGCATTTTAAAAGGACTTCTCCGACTTCATTTTGGGACATGGACCACAAAGAGCAAGAGTAGAGAGGCTGATGTCTTTGTTACCTTTCTATCGCCATGACGATCAAGGCAACTCATTCATTTCTTTTTTAATTTAGGTTAGAGTCCATGACCATCACAGCAGACAGCAAGGCAGCAGGCAGGCAGGCATGGTGCTGGAGCAGTAGCTGAGAGCCTACAACCTTATCCTCAAGTAGCAGGCAGAAAGACAGCACTAATCGGGAATGCTGTCAACGCCTGCCCTCCAAGACACACCTCCTCCAACAAAGCCACAACTTAGTCCTTCCCAAACAAGTCCACCAACTGGGGGCCAAGTATTCAAATATATGAGCCTATGGAGGCCATTCTCATTCAAACCACCACAGCTGATGTCTCTAGCAGTCCCTGAAGAGAGGCTGGTACTCATTTTGATAGGACATGCATGATAGATACACAGAATAGCAACAGCATGCACACCTGCCCTCCTCTTATCAGCTGGCCCCGGGCCACCTCTGGACAGCTGAATAAGAAGTAAGACATGTAGGCCAAACTCCCAGATATGGAGAACTGGTGTTCTCACACTTACATTAATATCACCGTCATATCTAGCTAAAAGGAATAATGTAAGAATCCCATGTCAGGACAGGTAACCCATTCTCAGGGAATCCTCCAGCCCCGTGCTTCTTGACCCACTCATAAGTTCCTTTAGGACAATCACTGCTGTGCCAGGGAGTATAAAGGTCACAAGGGCACACGTTTGCAGGATAATCTTTCCTGGAGCATTAAGAAAGGGGAAAAAATAATATGAAGTTTGTTTTGTTTTTAAAGAAAGGTAAGGGGTAGACAAACAATATTTTTTACACACAATGAACATATTCATTTCTGTTTTGTGGCACGAGGGTCAAATCCAGGACCTCACCAATGAGCAGCAAGCACTCTACAATACAACTAAACTAGTCTCCAGCCTTTTGGGGTTTCTTGGGGGGTGGGGAGGCATTGTGTTTCGCTCTGAGAAAGGCTATCATTAAGTTACCCAGGATGACCTCATATTTTGCAATCCTCCTGTCTCAGCCTCCCAAATAACTGAGATTATAGGTGTATACCACCCATAACCAGTCAACAAGATGAATGTTTTTTATTTAAGCAACTGTTTTGGTGGGGGTTGTTTGTTTTGGAGATGAGGTCTCACTATGTAGTCGTAGCTGGACTGTAACTCACTTTGTAAACCAGTCTGGCCTAGAATTCACAGAGATCCCCCTGCCTCTGCCTCCCCAGTGCTGGGATCAAAGGTGTGTGCCACCACACCCAGCTAAGATGAATATATTTAAGAAGAAGGCAACAATTGCATGTAAGACAGAACATTGATGTTGAAGATGCTGAGACTCACTTCCATCCCTACCCAGAAACAGGACACAATGCATTTGGCTAGTGTTATATTCAGAAGGTTGGGGGGCAGGGGGAGGTAGACAGGAAGAGAGAGAGAACAGTGAGTCATGTGGGGCTACATACCATTTCCAGAATGTTCTGAAACCACTGTCAGATGCAGCGCACGTGTGGATAACCCTCCTCTGGGCAGGAGGAGGTGCCCTGTGTTTGACATACCTGAAACCTGGTTCCCAAAAACAGCTGGTGGGTAAAGGCCAGTTGGTCAGCAAGCTCTGGGTTATGCAATATGAGTTAAGGGTCAGGGCTGCAGGCAGAACCCTGATGAGAAAGTCACCTACAATGACTCCTGCCTCCATTACTCCATCCTTCCCCACAAACCCTGATGCTCACCCTTGCTGCCATTTCTGTTGGGAGAATGCTTCAAAAACTGAGAACTCCCTCCCAGAACTTAGACTCAGACCTTGATGGCCCCAGGTGAGCACCGAGAGAGTCAGCCTGAGAGTCTAAAGCAAGGACTTTGGTTTTAACTGAAGTACATCATACAGAGTCAAATACGTTTGTCTGATGGCTAAAGAGAATAGACAGATCAGAACATTTGTGGATTCCAGAAGGCTTCCCATGACCCTTCCCAGGCAGGGTCACTGCAACTCAGATAAGCACCCATCTGTCTCCTTAGCACTTGCTCCTGGGATGCCTGTTTTGTACTCTACAAAGATAGGGTTATTCTACAGATTGCACTCTTTTGTCCCAGTTTTCTGGGTTTTTTTGTTTTGTTTTGTTTTTGTTTTTTGAGACAGCTCTCATTCTGTAGCCCAGAATTGGCCCATAACTCAGCAAAATCCTGAAACCTTAGCTTCATAAATGCTGAGATTACAGGCATTGGCTACCCCACACCACCATGTTGTGGTCTTTTGTGTCTGGCTTCACTAACAATATTGCACTGCACTGAGCTTTGTTTTATTTCTGTGATGTTTAGATTGTACAAATCTGCCATGCTTTCTTTTAAACCAAAGGCTTCACAAGTGGTCAGGGTGATGGTGCCATGAGTAAAGGTGTGTGTCTGCAGCCATGCCTGAGGATAGGGGTCCACAGAGGGGAAGAAGAGGGCTCTGGCTCACCAAGTTGTCCTATGAACTCCCAAACACCACGGGTTTTACACACACACACACACACACACACACACAAGAGAGAGAGAGAGAGAGAGATAACAAGTGGATGGATGGATGGATGGATGGATGGATGGATGGATGGATGGATGGAATTTATTTTTAAGTTTAGGGCTGAGTGTGGTAGCACAGACCTTTAATTTCAGAGGCAAACAAATCTCTGAGTTTGAGGCCAGCCTGGTTTATTTATCAAGTTCCAGACTACCCTGTCTCAGAAGAAGAAGAAAAGAAAAAGAAGAAGAGGAGGAGGAAGAGGGAAGAGGGAAGAGGGAAGGAGAAGGAAGAAGAAGGAGAAGAAGGAGAAGAAGGAGAAGAAGAAGATAGAAGTGCCTGTGCTTCCAATATTGAAAGCAAATGCCCAGCGGTGGTGGCTAACTCCTTTAATCCCAGCACTTGGGAGGTGAGGGTGTCTCTGAGTTTCAGGCCATCTTGATTTACAAAACAAGGGCTAGGATGGCCAGTGCTACACAGAGAATCTGTCACAGAAAGAAGAAAGAAAGAAAAAAAAGCAAGAACCAATTTGCTTTCACATTTTAGTCTCAATAAAAATTAAAAATAAAAATGACATTAAAATTAGTTTGTCTTTATCTTTAAGCTTAATCATGTGAAAACCTTGCCTTTGCCAGCCTTTATTATTGAGAAAACTCTCAAACAGAAACCTTTTTTAGGACAAATGATTTTTAATAGAGATGGTGACAGTAAGATAAAAATGACTGTGCTGATTAATTAGAAAATATGTTCCTTATTAAAGCATAAACATAAAGTACAGAGTATATTAAGCAATATATTCACCATTTGCCCAAGGATAAGTATGAGCATATCATGGTGTAAGTTAATTGGAATATTTTTTAAATAACAATATTTATTAAAACTTCTAATATATGACCACATATTTATAAGTAAAGACAAATTTGTCCATTATAATTAATTATTATATAATTACTATATATATTATAATTGTAACAAAGCAATTCTTTTTTCTATGAGAAACAGAGAAATTTGATGTGACATGTGCTACATAAAACCCACAATGTTTACCCAGCACATAACTATGAGAAAAAATGTCTTCTATTTCAAAATAGGAGACAAAAGAATTTCCATTAAATCCTTTAGTTTAGGCCAGATGGTAGTTGTCAACTATTCAAGAAAAAAAAAATCAGAGAGGCCTCCCATTAAAACTTCCTTCCGGGCAGGAATTCTTGGACAATGACTTCTGTTAGAGTCTTCCTGTCACTGTTATAGGGGACTTGGGACTTTTTAATGCACTGAGGCAAAGAATTGTTCCATATTTATGATTCTGTGTGTGCTCATGTGTGTGTGTGTGTGTGTGTGTGTGTGTGTGTGTGTGTGTGTGTGTGTGCACTCACCCAAGCGTGTGGGGGGCGGGGCCAGAGGTCAACATCCAGCTACCTTTCTCTGACACTCTCCACCCTATTTTGGGGAGCAGGGTTTCTCACTGGACCTGGAACTTGTCGTTTTGTCTAGGCCACAGGTCTGCCTCCCCAGGGCCAGCTTTTATGTGATGCTGGGGACCAGGTCCCTCCCTATGCTTGCACAGCAAGCACTTTAGCCACTGAACCATCTCCCTAGCCCTGTGCTTACCATTCTTAAAGCTCTTACCACACACTGATTTTAATATTATATCTGTAATTTCAGGGGATAATATTTTTCATGTTTCCATTGGTGGTCTAATATAAACCATATTAGACCATAAACCAAAATCTTATTTCAAGGTGAAGGTCATTTCCAGGGCTTCTGGGATTGACATTCCATTCACACTCATATTATTTAATCTTGTTTCTGCTATGGTAGTTTCATGTATATGTTTGATTTTATTTCAGTGAAAAAAAAAACTGTCTTACCTCTGGGGGGAAAGGATTCAACCAAAATAAATTTTGTTTTAAGTGGGTTTTCTCAGTAAAGATTTTTCTTATTTATGTGCATGTATATATAGTCTGTGTGTGTGCATACATGTGCTCTCATGTCTATATATGTTCAAGTGCCCATGGAGTCCAGATGAGGGTATGGGATTCCCTCAACTGAAGCTTCAGCAATTGTGAGCACCCAGTGTGGTGCTGGGAACTGAGCTCCATCCTCTGGAGAGCTGCAGGCACACTTAACTGCTAAGCCATCTCTCCAGCACTTTAATATTGTAAACAGCATCTCATGTAGCCTGGGCTGGCCTCAAACTTGTGTAGCTGAAGATGACCTTAAACTCCTGATCCCCCTGCCTCTGCTCTTAAGTCCTGGGATTACAAGTGTGAGCTACCTCACCCAACTTCTGTCACTGTGTGATTCTGGGCCTGGCCCTGGGGCTGCACACTCACGAGGAAATAGTTTCCAGCTGGCAAGGTTTTCTTCCAGCCTGATGTAGAAGTTAGCCCAAGGATCTTGGTGATGCTTAGAAACAGTATGATTTACTTACGACTCTTCTGAATTGTATTCTTTCCCTGGCAGGGGACCATGTGCCTAAATCTCTGGAGGGATTTTTTATCTATGAAGAAGGATCTGGAGTTCCAGGCTCTAGCAGGAAAGGGAATGATGCCATTGTGGTGGAGCAGTGGACCGTCATTGGGGTGAGCTACAATTTATAAGAAATGTGCTTTGCTTTTGTGTGATTTTACATACTGAAGACCATTGCTGGGCATACACAGCATCCTTAAACACAGATAGTCCGATGTCACCATATAAACTAATGAACATCATTGCCCAGCACACACAGTACCCTTAAACACAGATAGTCCAATGTCACCATATAAGAATGAACAAACTTCTTCCATACACTTTGCCCACATTTTCAAACATTTCAGTAAAACAGAAAAAAGAATTGCCTACACCAAAATTAAAGTAGGTTCCCCCAAATCTGAGATTCTAGCCCTGAACAAACCCCTGATGCTAAAATCCCCCCCCCCCCCCCCCGCTACAAAAATGCCTTGATAATTGACTGGAAACAATAGTTTGGTCACAACCAGTCTTTAATCTCAGAGCAGTCAACACAATATGCTTTTTTTAACCTTATAAATTGATTTTGAAGTAAGAACATCCATAATTTTTCTTGCACACACCAGGCCAGATATGTGCACACAGCACTGTCCTTTATATCAGAGATGACACTGCTGTCGGCTTGTGAATTTATGAATTCAGATGTCACCAGCCACTGCCTTGAGGTGGACAGATATCTTCCAGTATGTCTGTTGCATGTATGAAGCCCTCACAAATAGGTCTTTAAGGAAATATCTTGACTTTATGGCCTTACAAAGACCATAGAGGACAGTACTCATTTTCAAAGAAATTGGAATCCCCACTGTAGGGGTTGTGGAAAGGTGTGGCTGTTAAAGCTGCAAGTAAAGACCAACTCCAGTGAGGTGAGAACAGAGACCACACAGCCAGGCCCATGCAGCCTCACTGCCCACACTTGAGACCCCGAATCCAGGCCCTGTCTGCTTCACTACCCACATTTGAGACCCTGAATCCAGGCCCTGTTGGCTTCACTGCCCACACTTGAGACCCCGAATCCAGGCCCTGTCTGCTTCACTACCCACATTTGAGACCCTGAATCCAGGCCCTGTCAGCTTCACTGCCCACAATCATTCTCTCATCCAGTCCCTAGACTACTGTTGCTGAACATACTTTGCACGCTTCATGGAACCAATGCCCCAAGGAGCTTTTGACCTGCAGGCTCCCAGCTCCACACACTAGAATCTTAGAACCATGGCTTTCCCTCGAACAAAGACGGACTGAATGACCACTCTCCGGCTGTGGTTTTATGACGAGGCAGTAATTACAGAGGATGAGGCTTTGGGGGCTGCAGTCCCATGACAGTGTGTCACCCATCACCGCGCCTCATCCTAGCAACTGTGTGGCCCGCTGTCTGCTATTAGACTGTGAGGTCTTATGCTTCTTTACACAGGGCTGTGAAATCAAAACGGACTATGGCCCTCTGCTGCACACTCTGGCTGAATTTGGATGGCTTCTCACGAGCGTGCTGCCCACACCCATATTGAGACATGACAGGTAATGCCCACATATCCTCACTTGCACATTTAATTCTAAAATCTGTCCATCTCTGAGATAAATTAACCAATGCTTCTTTAAAGCTGATGAGAAACGCGTCTGGTATTTGGAGGTCAGCAAATCCAATCCCTTCGCCACACAGAGGTATACACTCATGATGACTTCACTCTGTGCAGAACTGTCCCCAGCACAAGCCAGGCTGCGGCTCCTGGCCAGGTCAGGCAGGAAGAGGAATTGGTTGCCTTGCTCTTCCACCTGCCCTGGTGTGATGGGTTAGATGGCCCCTTCAAACAGAACAGCAGCAGCTCACAAGCTAACATGTCCCCCTGCTTCCCTGCTCACTGACTTCTTAGGGAAGAAAGTTTGAGTAGCCACAGCTTCTCACTTCGTTTTCTAAAGAGGCCAATTGGTCCTTAGGTGTAGGGTGGTTCATTCACCCCTGCACCCAGAGACGCTCCCTCTGCCCCCAGGAGCGTCCTGAACATGACTGCCCTGTACCTTAAGGTGGCACAGTGTCCCCAGGGACCTTGTCATCATGGCTTCATGTTCCAAGTGACAGCCGCTGGGGCTAAGAGCAGGTGTGAGAAGCCCCACTTCCTGGTCTCCTCAGCCCTCCCCCCAGTGTCTTAGCAGACTGTAAAACCCTGTGATTGGCACAGCTTGAGGAAAAGGCCACACTTTTTTCAAGTGGACAGAGGTATCAAGGACATAATAAGACACTCAGGTTTAAAGATCACCAAAAGAGCAAACAGCTCATCTATTTCTCTAAGACCAGAAGGAACTGGTCTCACACTGAGCGCTGCCCCCCTAAAACAATGTTTCCCAACTTTCTTTGTCTGCCATATCTCAGTCAGCAGTAACCCTAAATAAATTACAGGAAGAGCTCAAACACTGCGGGTCCACCCCAGTAAGACAGCAGCTTAGGGGTGGGGCCCTGGTATTTGTATCAGGGGCTTCCAAAAGACAAAGGAATTCCTCTGCCCTGAGCCAGGGGTCTGCACCCACGGTCCCTCCCCCCAACACATATGCCTTCTGAACACCTCTGTCTGCAGCTGTCAGCATGGTTTTTATTTGGTTGATTGGTTGGTTTTTCTTTTCTTTCTTTCTTGTTTTGTTTGTTGTTTGTTTTTGAGACAAGGTCTCTCTGTGTAGCCCTGGCTGTCCTGGAACTAACTCTGTAGACCAGGCTGGCCTTGAACTCACAGAGATCCGCCTGCCTCTGCCTCCGGAGTGCTGGCATTAAATGTGTGTGCCATCACCATGTCTGGCTTCTTTGTCTGGTTTTGGTGGTCCTCCTAAGTGTCCATCGGCTGACAGTTACAATTACAGACTTTCCAAAACATGGAAATCCTGAACCTCTCCTCTCCTCTTCCCCTAAGGAAAAGTGTGATTGTTCCTTGCCATTCATTCAGGGATTCCAGCTGCTCTCACTTCTAAGTATTTCCCACAGTACTCTGAATGAATGGCAGGACATCTGGCAGCCGGCCGCTTCTGCTGAGCCTCAGATGGGCTCCTGTGGCATTTCCTGTGTCCGGTCAGGGTCAGTTTAGGAATGACAGGACCGAGCCTAAGGGTGGAACGCAAATATACTTGTGACCCCCAAGTATACCTGGATACGGGGGTGGCTCATGAAACATGAAGCCACACTAAGCCATTTTGTGCCGAACTGCAACCCAGTGCTTTGGATTGGCTGTATGGTGGCTCTGTAGCAAAAGGAGGGAGAGAGGCACCAAAACTGGTAAGGATTTGGGGACCTGAAGGGGTGACTCAGTGGTTATGAGTACTGCTACTCTTCCAGAGGTCACAGGGCTGATTCCCAGCACCCACATCTGTGGCTCCAGTTTCAGAGATTCTGACGTCCTCTCCTGGCCTCCTCAAGACACTGCATGAATGTGGTGTGTTTATATACAGAAAAAACACCCATATGTGTAAAAGTAAATGTTTAAAGTTTAATTTTTTGTAGGGTTTTTTGTTTTGTTTTGTGGGTTTTTGAATTAAGGTTTGGGGGTTGTTATTGTTGGTGTTGGTTTTGGTGTTGTTTTTGGTTTTGGAGACATGGTTTCTCTGTAGCTTTGGAACCTGTCCTGGTACTCCATCTGTAGACCAGGCTGTCCTCCAACTCACAGAGATCCACCTGCCTCTGCTCCTGAGTGCTGGGATTAAAGGTGTGTGCCACCACCATCTGGCTTTTTTATGGTTTTGAAGGTAAATTTTAGGACTATATTAGAGAATAATCCCAATTGTATAGATTTTGAATGTGCCTAGCAACCCTTGGAATAACTTCACAGTGACTCTGGAATAGATCCAGTTCTTGACATTATAATAGGGAAGAGGACGTCTTTGCTTTGATTCAGTTTTTATTGTTTTATGTTTTATAATAAATTGACACTCTCCAATCATTTTTAAATGAAATTAAGAAAGAAATAGTCAATCTCTTGTGGAAAGATGAGGAGGATCCATGGTATCTAGTCCTGAAGTCAGTCATTCATGTCAAGTCTACATTTCACACAATATTAACACATAGCCAGGGGCTCTCATTCTGATTGAAGCCGGTCAAGCTTGTGAGTTCTGTAATTTAATACAGTCATTAAGCACATGATACTTCAGTCCATAGTTTCTGTAGAAGTATTAAAAAGAAGAGGGATGACTATGGATATCAAAGTAAAGCTGGACCTCACATCCTGAGGAGATGGACAGCAGCTTGTGTAGTAGAGCCTTGCCCAAGAATCTGCTGCTGATCCTGGCAAGAAGGGAGTAGAAAGTGTATTTGAACAGCACTCGCCCTGTGTGGAAGGCCAAGTATTAACAGTGGCCGGCCCTTCTCCCGTAAGCCAGGAGCTTTGTATAATATTGTTCATTTTATTACTTGGGTCCTTCTGAGAACCTGTCAGTCACTTTGTCACTCTGACAGAACACCTAAGGAAGGACTCAGGGAGGACAGACTTGCTTTGGTTCCTGATTGTAGACCTTTTGGTGCTCATCACTGCTCTGGTGTGACAGGAGAGAGAGCCCTGCATGACATGAAGCAAAGCCACTCATCTCACAGACAGGGAGGGCCAGGTGTCCTGGGACAAGATGTAGCCTTCACCCGCATGCCAGGCCTTCCTTCTTCCAACTATACCCCACCTCCTACAAGTCCATTCAGCCACAAACTTATGATGTCAGCATTCTTGTGATGCAGCGAGCTCCGGTTCCTCATGACCCCAACAAGGGGACCAAGCTTCAGCATGGAGAGACATCATGTCCGAGTCAGAACAGAATATAAAATGAAGATTAAGTGTGATGTTTTTCACTGGTAATGAGGATTGTTGAGAAAGACAAGGACATGAGCACACTAGGCTAATGAATGAGAGCTATTATATAGGGACCTAGTCCTTTAGCAGGACCAAATTCCTAAGAAGTTGAAATAGGTTGTAGGTTGTCCAAGCACAATAGGTTGGCCTGTCCCAAATCAAAACATCTCAGAAGATACAAGGTGTTACAGTCCACCATATACAAGATGAGCACTGAGGAGTCCAAGGCAATAAGGCAACACAAATAAGTAATGTCATAGAGCTACGAGGTTACATCCAGAGAAAGAAATGCCACGCTCTTTCTTTGGAGGCATGTGCCAGAGAATCTGTCACTCAGACCCATTGTCCTTGAGCAGTCCCCTCCTTGGATGCAGCATTTTAACTTTTCTATTCTTCTGTTGCTTGTGCTGTACTTGAATGGCCCACACAGGGCGTTTCCCCTCCTGACAACACAGTACACAAGCACACTCTCAGTAGTGCTCTCAAGGTCATTACCATTGCCTGGGCAGTGTTACACCACCCAGGTTCAAGTCAGCACTCCATGGAGGCAGCATGAGGCTGTAGCCTGACATCCCTACTGCATCTGTCCAGTTATTGCCACCAGCCTGGAAAAGAGGCAGAACAAGGCAGACCCCTCCTTTATTGTTGTCATGCCTAGAGAAGTCAAGGTGAGAGTTACCAGAAAGTTCTTCAAGGAAAATAAACTGAAAAGGACCAGACTATAGGTCTATAGGAGGGGACTGTAGAGATGGCTCAGTGGTTAAGAGCACTTAACGCTCCTATAGAACTCTTCGGTTCAGTTTCCAGCATCCATTTAGTGACCCTCAACCATATGTAACTCTAGTTCTAAGGGATCTGATGCCCTCTTCCAACCTCCACAGGTAACAGGTACATGATACATATGTATGCATGAAGGTATACAATCCATATGCAAGCAAGCAGGTACATGATACATATGCATACAGCCAGGCAGAGCCCTCCCAAGGGCCTGTAATATCAAGTAGATGCAGGAGAATCAAGTTCAAGACCAGCCTGGACTCCATGAGGCCCTGTCTCAAAACAAACAGAAAACAGCAGTTCTAGTCTGTCTTGATGGGGGAGGGGCAAGATCATAAGGAACATAAACTGTGGAAAGAATCTGTGAGTAATGCAGAGATCTGATGTGACAGAGAGTCTGGGGAGTAGGAAGAACCAGACAGGAGAGAGGAAGGCTTACATCTTATGCTTTCAAGTATAGTCCAGTCGAGTAAGACTATAATGAGAGCCTGATGACCTGAGTTCAATCCCCGGGACCTACACGATGGAAGTCCTCTGTCACCATGCACCATGTGCATACAAGGTTTCTCATATGCAAACATCCACACATATGCTCAATCAATAGAACCCAGCCCCTAAGGATAAGCTGTGAAAAATAAACAGGAGAAAAATATCTCTTCCCTATGCTTTTAGTAGCCCTGATCCCGTCTTGCTGGGCTCAAGTACACTCAGTAGCTTTGTGAACACAGAGCTCCGAAGCACTGACTAGAATCTGTGGGCTTGCCTGAAATGCTTGAGTCCCCCATGTCCTCTGAGCCTTCCTGTGCCCCAAGGCAGGAGGGGTGCACCTGTTCAGAGGCTGAAATGGGGTCTTCTTCAATGCCATGCTGGTCTCCCCAATAAATCCTGTAAACCCCACGTGGGTTAAGATCATGGCACTCTTGCCCTGGG